ACAGGCTGGCCTCCGACCCGTGCTTCCAGGTACCGCTGGGAGCGGGGGACGGGAGCAGCTCGGGTTTCTGCTTTGGGAAGTTTTTGCCGCCTGGAACCCTCCCTCCCCGCGCCGGGCGTGCGAGCCAAGAATGTCAGAAATCCAGGGCATAGAAACGCCAGTGTTTGCGGTCAGGGATTAACGGCGAGAGGTTGTCTTTATTTAATCAGCTCGGGTTTGCACAGAAAACGAAGCCTGAGAGCGACGGTACCCGAAAAAGGGGGTGGGGCGTGGGGGGGGGGGAAGGGCACGGGCTAGCGGCTGGAGGGCACTTTCGTGAACCGAACTGCGGGCGCCTTCTTGCCCCGCGGAGGTGGGACTCTCCCTCCCGGGCACACATCGGGGAGCTGTGTTGTCACTTGCCAGCGCTGAGGTCGGTGGGGGTGGGGGGGAGATTGGGGTGCACAAAACAAATGCAGACCGCGACCTCGGCCCGACCCTGCTTCCAGCAGCCCCTGGGCCCCCGGGAGCTGTAAATGCTTAAATAGGGTTTCAGCCCTTTGCCAAGAAGGGCCTGGGCTCGGGCTTCGGGAAGGAGGGCAAGGGCTACGCTCCGAGGAGTCAACCGGCTGCCCCCGCCCCTTCCTCAGACGGCGTGCATTCATTCCACAAACGTTTCCTGACTGTCTGCTGGGTGCCAGGCGCGGTGCCAGGCGCTGGGGCGTGATGGTGAGCCCAGACCCATCCCAGCGTCGCCGGCCGGCCCTGCCTGCGCCACGTGGATCTGCCCTGACAACCACAGTCGTCACCATAGTCGGGGAGACTGATGTTCGTGCGTCAGTGTCACTGAGTTTTTGCAACCTTTAGGCACAGTCTTCATCCCTGTTGGATGCCGCACAGCCGCGGGCTCAGGGAAACCAGGTGACTTCCCAGGGTGACGGCGCTAAGTAGCGCAGCCTGGATTCCGCTCCCGCCTCTGAGTACACGAAGTCCTGGTCTTCGGGGAAATCCCGGCGCTTTTAGGAGCCGCCTCGGAGCCCTTGGGCGACTCATTCTCATCTCCTTGCCCCAGTTTTGCCATCGGAGGAGAAAACCGTGTGAACGTGCCTGCTTCCCACCAGCATTGCTGGGTGTACAGTCCGCAGTCTTGTAAACTTCAGGAATAAATTAGGGAGACACTATTCCCGACAGATGCCAGGGTTAATCCTAACAGCTGCCTGTATCGGCTACATTATCTCATCAAATCCTATTAAGGAATCATTGTTTTTGCTTATGGGAAACTGAGGCATAGAGAGGTTAAGCAACTTCCCCCCAAGTCATACAGGGGGTGGGCTCTCAGACTCCCGAACCCTGGACCCTTACCACCCTCCACCCCACAGCCTTCCCGATGTAAGCATTTGCATGGGATGGATCTGCTCAGACAGGTGTTTAATACCAGCCCAGGAATGGGCACAGCTCTGAAGCGATGAAGTGTGTCTATTACCTGCACTTTGCCCCTCCGCTCTTCTGCGCCGTCTCTGGTCACTGGGCTCTCTGGCCTCTGCCTGATGCCTCTCCCCATCATCAAGAAACTCCCCCATCGTGGCCGGCCAGTGTGGCTCAGTGGTTGAGTGTCAAACTATACACCAGGAGGTCACGGTTCCACAGTCAGGGCACATGCCCAGCCAGGTTGTGGGCTCGATCCTCAGTGTAGGGCGTGCAGGAGGCAGCCTGTCAATGATTCTCTCTCATCATTGGTGTCTCTATCTCTCTCCCTTCATCTCTGAAATCAATAAATTATGTTAAAAAGAAATTCCCCCAGCGTGAGACAACAAAGGGGTCCACACCTCCATTCGTCCCCCCCCCCAAGAAAACAAAACATTTCTAAAGGGTTGTTGGCTCTACTTTTCAAATTCAACAAGTCAGTCTATGCTGACATAACTGGTGAAGACTTAAGGGTAATTATTTTGTGTTTCTAACTCAGAAACACGATGGAGTTTTAACGTGGGTTTTCCGAAGGAAGCTTGGTCTTGTTGGAGAGCTGGGGGGGCGGGCGGTGATTTTCCTCCTCAACGTGCAGCGGGCGCTGGACCCTTCACTGCTTTAGCCACTGCCTCCCTCCCCGACCACAGGGCAGGGACCGTGCTTGATTCGGGCTAGTAGATACCCTACCTCCCCACCCCGCAGCCCCCAGCCTCTGCCTGCACATTTTACTAGATTCGTGGGGAAAGTGTTTGTTCAAAAACGTGAGCTAAGCTCTGGCCGGTGTGGCTCAGTTGGTTGAGCGTCATCCCATGCACCAAACGGTTGCCAGTTCTATTCCCGATCAGGGCATATTGATTGATTATATCAATGTTTCTTTCTCCCCCCCCCCTTCCCTTCCTCTCTAAAATCAATAAAAACATTTTTAAAGTGTTTTAGTAGGTGGGTCACACACAATGGCAGGTGAGATGAACGTATGTTTGAGCACACAAGTCTAGGCCCCTCACCTCATAGGCCGTTTCCTCCACCCCTGTGTGTGAATGGTTCTGTTCAACGTTTGCAACTGGTCTCAGGCCCGAGCAGCTATGAGGCCACTAGAAAGAAGGTTTGCTCATTTCTCTGTGAAGATGAGGGGCTCTCTGTGATGACGTGTGATTGGTGATGAAGTGTGTCATAAAAAAGGGCCACTGCCCAACTCACTCCCCATTCCCAGTACAGGAAGGTGGGTTTCTTCTCCTTCACTCTACTTTTTTTTTTTCCCCCTGGAAAAATTTTCTAGACCTGTGCTCTCCAATACACTAGCCATTTAGGCACTTATGACATAGCTAGTTCTGAGATAGGAAACAGCTGTAAAATGCATGTTGCATTTCCAAGACAGTAAAAGCAAACTATCTCATTAGCAGTTTTTATATTGATCACGTGTTGCAATGATGCTGCTTTGGATACGCTAAGCAGAATCAGTCCCCAACTCTTCCCTCTTGGTCATGAGCAGGTGGCGGTGGAGGGATGGAGCCACAGCCCTTTTTGAGGATCATATCCAACCCAAGGACATCAACCAAGCACAACACAGATACTCCAAATGTTAGCACCAGTTCATGGAGTTCCTTATACCACCCCGCCCCCCCGCCACACACACACACACACACACACACACACACACACGCCCAAATTCATTCACAGACGCTCCCAGACGACTAGGTTACCTTTTAGCTGCATCTTTCTGTGATATTGTCTCTCCAAACAGATAAACTCCTTGAAGACAGGGACCAGGTCCTGTAACCTTGCACCCTTTGTAGCATCTAGCTCAGCTCTGGACACAAAGCAGCTGCTTGGCGTTGACTGGCTAGTTGACTGTTGGAGCCATAAGGGTGGCCAGAAGGAAGGGACCAGAGCCCCCAGGCAGCCCGGCCGAGATGGAAGCCCTGCAACTGGCATTTGAACAAGAGCAGGAGAGAGGCCAGTTTGGTGTGAAGCTGGGAAACGTCTGCTGTCTTCCCTGAGCCCAGGCGCTGGGTGTCCTGGGTGGCTAAGAGAAGACAGGAACACGAAGAGGCCCTATATCCGTTGTCCTGTGTCTGGATTTAGAAGAGACTGCTGGTCAGTAACCTTGCACATGGAGGGAACATGGACAGATTGTCCGTGATCGAAGGTCTGGAAGCCAGCATAGTGGCTACAACAGAAGAAAACAAAAATTAAACAGTTACTACCACTGTACGCCATATAGGAGTGACGCCTACACCATCTCTGATTGTTGCCTTGGGCCAGGTACACTGTTACTTTCTTACACATTCTTTTCCTGTGAGCCACGCAGAACTAGGGGTTTGTTATCAACTCAGACATTACACCCCCCCTCGCCCCATCGCCTGCCTCACGTCTGGGAGACTCCCATCGGGAATTGCTTTGCAGCGGAGTGAGAGCTGGGCACTTGAGGAAACCTTGGGCACGGCCTTCGTATCTTATCCTAGTGTTTGAAATGAAAGGAAATCTGTTTGTCAGAAGAAAAACAGAAAGCTCTTCTTCACAGAAGAATTCGGCTAACACATGTGGAAAGATGATAAAATTAGAAGCATCACCATTTTGCAGCTCCCAGTGTAATAATTTTTATTTAAACAAAGACAGCAATAGATGCCCAGGTGCCTGAGCCAAAGGTTGATGCAAACAGGATACTCATATGGTCTCCAAAATCACCCCCCTCGGCTAACACATGTGGAAAGATGATAAAATTAGAAGCATCACCATTTTGCAGCTCCCAGTGTAATAATTTTTATTTAAACAAAGACATCAATAGATGCCCAAGTCCCTGGGCCGAAGGTTGATGCGAACAGGATACTCATATGGTCTCCAAATCACCCCCGTCACGACCCACTAATTGTGAAGGGGAAAATGGACCTTGAAGATGAAGAAGTATAGCGGTCTCCCACGTTAACCAAGTGACCAAACTTCCCCCAATGGTACTGGGACAATCAGACACAATTGCATCCTAACTCTATAGGATGTACAATATCACATATGACGTGATTTTGCCAGGAGTGTTTGAGGACACAATCAAACAAACCCCCTGGCACGCGTGCCAAACATGGCACGCCAGTAACTTTTGCCAGCACGAGAAACCCTCTCTTATAATCTTCCATTTACAATTTTTTTTCTTAATATCGACTTTTTTATTTTTCAGATAAATTCAGTGTAGGTGCATCTTAGATAAATAAATAATTTTACATAACAAGTTATCTTAAAGACCATAGACATGGATTGACGAGAGAGGGGAAGAGCAATTTCTATGCCTCT